TGTGCTCCTCCGGGTGTTTTGGACTTCAGTTCCCAGAAGCCAGCCAGCTTACTAGTGGTTATGATTGTGGGAGCTGAAGTCCAAAACATATGGAGGAACACTGTTTGAGTAACTTTGCTCCAGATGTTTTGGCCTACAGTATTTTCATTCCCTTCCTGTGCACCAAATATTAAGAGACTGTAGGAGTCCTAATCTAAAACATCTTGAGTATCCAAGGGGTTTGGATACTGGAATTCCTTCCTCAAGGAGATTAAAATGGCCCCATCGCTGTCCTCTTTTAGGAAGCAAATAAAAATCTTCCTATGCGCCAGACCTATGGAGAGGTGAATGATTAAAGTGCTGGCCTTTGATGCAAGGAATGGAATATGGACGTGGCTTTTAACCCTGTTTTTATTGATATTGTGTAATCTGTTTTATTGCTGTTATTGTGATTTGCTATCTGGTTGAATGTTTGTACTGTTTATTTGTACTGCTTAATTTATGGATGTATTTTATGGCATTGAATGTTTGAGTCCCCTTGGGGAGATAGAGTGGTATATAAATAAAGTTTTGTGGTTGTTGTTGTTGTTTTTATGTTGTGTGCCGCCCTAAGTCCCCATGGGGAGATGGGGTGGGATATAAATAAAGTTTTACTTACTTACTTACGTTTGCTTCTCTTCTGTAGACAATCCCGTCTACAGCTTTGACCTACCATGGAACTTATTTTATACATTCATGACTGGGCCAAGATTTTGCGACTATGCACATAGCAGCAAATACATACATATCCCCAACTTCAGTGATATATTCAGTGCCAATTTGCTACTGAGTACAATTCAAAGTGCTGGCTTTAGCCTATAAAGCCCTTAACAATTCCGGCCCAACTTACCTGTCCAAACGTATCTCCTCCTATGAACCATCTAGGACAGTGGTTCTCAACCTGTGGGTCCCCAGGTGCTTCGGCCTACAACTTCCAGAAATCTCAGCCAGTTTACCAGCTGTTAGGATTTCTGGGAGTTGAAGGCCAAAACATCTGGGGACCCACAGGTTGAGAACCACTGATCTAGGAGCTTAAGATCATCTGGGGAGGCCCTGCTCTTGATCCCGCCTGCCTCGCAAGTGTGATTGGCAGAGACAAAGGACAGGGCCTTCTCAGTGGTGCCCCCCGGCTATGGAACTCCCTCCCCAGAGATATTAGATCGGCCCTCTCCCTCCTGACTTTCCGAAAAAAAGTAAAGACCTAGCTCTTTGAGCAAGCTTTTGAGAGTGCAGCGGAATAGATAACACGGAACTATGAATGATGAACATGGAATGGCCAGACGATGTTACTGGATAACGTTTTTAACAGGATGACACCGATGATTATATGCTTTAATGGTTTTTATATATGTTTTATATTGTAATGTTGATTGTTTTTAATGGCACTTTTGGCATGAATGCCTGACACCGAACTGTGCCAGTCTGTAACCAGCCTTGAGTCACCGTATGGCTGAGAAAGGCGGGCTATAAATATCATAAATACATACATACATACATACATACATACATACATACATACATACACATACCCTGAAGCCACCCAAGCGGTTTATCATGAGACAGAAAATCCCACAAATGCTTCTCCCCATTCATAGGACAAATCAAACACTAACAAGTCAAATGTTCATAACAACTGTGATCTGTTGTTTATGACAGCTGCTTTTTTCTGCCTCATGATAGAGCTGGCCCTTCTGCACACAAACCATGCACATCTGGACCCAAACCATCAAAGGGTCAGCGCAGCTGCTGAAGCAGATCAATGCAGCCGAAGTGGAGCCGTTAGAAGCACAAAAAGAGCCCTCACAATTCTTTAAATGGCGGTTATGCTGCATGAAATAAAACTCCCTGTATGGTTCCCATGGTATTTCCATTTGAATAAAATCAATAATTTATACATTCCTAATGCATTCACATATATGAGAAAGAGTAAATATGCAAGATAAATGAAGCAAATGTGCCATATTTTTCTTGTGTTGCACAATGCATTTTGTTTTTCTTAATCAAGGCTAGTTGTGTGATCTCCACCCTTAACCACAGGAAATCTTATTCAACAACTCCTCGGGGTTCTGAAATTTCACCAGGCATTGTCCACCCAATTCTGAGGCCCCTTCTACACTGCCATATAATCCAGTTCAAAGCAGATAATCTGGATTTTATTTGGTAGTGTAGAAGGGGCCTGAGTATACTCTTGCAACCATGTGAACTAGTAATTTTCCTCAAATACAGAAAACTGTAGATGAAGTCAGGAATTTTAAACTAGTGATCTTTAAACTATTGAAACTACATTTCAAAACCAATTTCCCATCCTTTGGCTTTTCTGTTCTTCCACATGATCATAAAATGCCTGACCACTAACTTGGTTCATCTTGGTCTCCCTGTATCTTCCCCCTCCCCACTCCTGAAAGAGTGAATTAATTATTGTTGTGTAGTGTGTATCTTTTAAAGAAGTAAACCCAGACAGCTTTGGAGCCAGAAGACATCTCAATAGGTAGACAAAAGGAATTATTTCAGTCCTGAGCAGAAGCTAGGAGGAACCATCAGGTCCTGCACCACCACTTTTGAGACCTGAATAGTCTCAAGCCTCTTGCATTCATTTTTCTTTGAGGTCAGATGTTGCTCTGTATTCTAGAAGATTTCAGTAAATGTATTGTCGAAGGCTTTCATGGCTGGAATCACTAGGTTCTTGTAGGTTTTTTCGGGCTATAGGGCCATGTTCTAGAGGCATTTCTCCTGACGTTTCGCCTGCATCTATGGCAAGCATCCTCAGAGGTAGTGAGGTCTGTTGGAAATAGGAAAATGGGTTTATATATCTGTGGAATGACTGGGGTGGGGCAAAGAGCTCTCTGCTGAAGCTAGGTGTGAATGTTTCAGCTGACCACCTTCATTAGCATTTGAAGGCCTGGCTGAGCCTGGGAAAATGTTCTGTTGAGAGGTGTTAAGATGTGCCTGGCTGTTTCCTCTCTGCTGTTTTGCTGTTGTAATTTTAGAGTTTTTTAATACTGGTAGCCAGATTTTGTTCATTTTCATGTTTTCCAGCAAAACAGCAGAGAGGAAACAACCAGGCACATCTTAAAACCTCTCAACAAAAGATTTTCACAGGCTCAGCCAGGCCTTCAAATGCTAATGAAGGTGGTCAGTTGAAACATTCACACCTAGCCTCAGCAGAGAAGAGCTCTTTGCCCCACTTTCATTCCACAGATATATAAACCCATTTTCCTATTTCCAACAGACCTCACTACCTCTGAGGATGCTTGCCATAGATGCAGGTGAAACGTCAGGAGAAATGCCTCTAGAACATGGCCCTATAGCCCGAAAAAACCTACAAGAACCTATTTCAGTAAATGTCTGTGCATTGTAGACAGCATCATGACATGCTTTCCCCACAATTTTTTTAAAATAAAAATTAGTATCAGCAACATCAGATTTTGGCTTTGTGGCTTATGAGAGAACTCTATCATATGTTCTTCCAGCTGAGTCTGTGGCAGAATGAGGACTGGTCCTAAATATTTTGCTGACTGTGATAGACAATTCCCTTTCCATCCCGCACTGAGAAGCTGGCTGGATTGGCTGTGAAAGTGACTTCAACATAGAGACTGGGAAAGTTTCGGCCACTACCCATAGGCAGCAGGCTAGCTTTGATGGGTTGAATGGTGTTCATAGCCCTTTTTTCAGCTTCTAGGAAGGTCAGGAGCCACTGCTGTGAGACTAATATCTGTCACTGAGTGTTTGAATACTGAAAATGGCTATTTTCAAAGGTTAGGTAGAAGAGAGGATTTCAGCTGGTGTTGGTTGTCATGCAACCTGGTAACAAGCACCCCAGCAGAAATTCTCTCTTACACACAACCTTTGAAAGCATAGTAATCATTTCATCTTTTCCAAATGGCAACTCTAAAATAGTCATCTATCTCTAACTAATGGTAGAGCTGGTCATAGTACAAAAATGAGTGTTCAGTGTTCAACATATACATATACATATACATATACATATACATATACATATACATATACATGAAACCACTGGGAGAGGGCATCCAGAGCTTTGGAGTGCGGTGCCGTCTATACACAGATGACACCCAACTATCACTTTTTTTTCACCTAATTTCAAGGAAGCAGTTCCTGTGCTAAACCAGTGCCTGGCAGCTGTAATGGACTTGATGAGGGCAAACAAATTGGAGCTTTTTCCAAAAAAGACAGAGGTGCTCCTGGTCAGTCATAAGACTGATCTGGGAATACAGAGTCAGCTTGCATTAAATGGGGTTACACTCCTCTTGGAAATGCAGGTTCGCAGTTTGGGAATACTCCTGGATTCAACTATGAACCTGGAGGCCTAGGCATCAGCAGTGACAGGAGGGACATGAGCTTCCATTGTCAGCCCTAGCTTCTGCCAACCTAGCAGTTTGAAAACATGCAAATGTGAGTAGATCAATAGGTACCGCTCCGGCGGGAAGGTAACGGCACTCCATGTAGTCATGCCGGCCACATGACCTTGGAGGTGTCTATGGACAACGCCGGCTCTTCGGCTTAGAAATGGAGATGAGCACCACACCCCAGAGTCAGACATGACTGGACTTAATGTCAGGGGACAACCTTTACCTTTACCTAACAAGGAGGACAAGACAGAACGCTCTGAAATGGCATGAACCAATTATAATCACACTGGCCATCTGTCGGGAGTGCTTTGAAGGTGATTTTCCTGCTTCTTGGCAGGGAGTTGGACTGGATGGCCCACAAGATCTCTTCCAACTCTATGATTTTATATAGTAGCTCTAAGGTCCGACCTTGCCCAGCAGTACTGAACCTCCCCCCCCCCCATTGCTAGTTTTATCTCTCCATTTTGTACACAGCCTCTTGCTACCCCTGTGAGTAAGGCTGTAGAAACATCACTCCCAAGCATCCAGTTACCACAAGAGGAGAAGAGCTCCCACCCTTTCCATGGAAAGCTCATGGCAGCTGATAAGGAAATTCTTATCTTTCTCTTGCAGGCACAGAGTGGGTACCCTTGTGGCTTCATGAATGTCTGATCCAGGCAGCTGTGCGCTGCAGATTCACAGAGCTGGCTCTGAGGTAAGGAGGTGTGGGGAGGGAAGCAGGACACAGGGCACTTATCAAGGGCCAGATGGGCCCACCCATGCCTGGGTTAAGAAAGACTGAACAGGATCCTCCAAAATTATCCAGTAGGGGAAGGTCACCCATTGTCACTCAGATTTTTGTGCAGATGTTGGATCCACTACAACTATACTGGCATAGGCACATCCCTTTTTCTCTGTTGCCACTCATGGTCTTAGGGCTCATCTCTTGTTTCATGTACACACACTGTTTCCTTCTTGGACTTGTGTGTAATTGAATTCCTAAAAGCAAATGCTGAATCTTTACTAATGTAGCCACACATCTCAATAAATGTGATGTACAGTTTCAACCTTCCAGGAACAGTTGCACTCTCCTTATTCTCACTTGCCTAGGCTACTGGGAAATATTCTCAGTAGCCTATGCAAGCCTCTTGAGTCTCTTGTGGAGTGAGAAAACAGTATGAATAAACATTAAAATAACAATAAACATAATAATAAAAACATAACAATAAACATAATAATAAACATAAACATAAACATAAACATAAACATAAACATAATAATAATAATAATAATAATAATAATAATAATAATAATAATAATAATAAAAACAATCCATACCTTTTTTTACTGGGATCTGCACACATTATTCGCCAATACATCACACAGTCCTAGACACTTGGGAAGTGTCCGACATGTGATCCAATACAACAGCCAGCAAAGTGTCTGCTGTGGACTCATCTTGTTGTGATTCAAATAATAATAATAATAATAATAATAATAATAATAATAATAATAATATAAATAATAATAAACTTGGGGACTCGGAGCGGCTTACATGGGGCCAAGCCTGAACAACAATTACAATAAAGAACGACCGAACACAAACCGAAAAGGCAAACAATAAACAATAAACAACATCATAATTACAAAGGACATATGAATATACAACAATATAAAATTAGCATAAACAATAAACAACAACAATAATAATGCAGATGGGTACAGTGCCTAAAGCTTTGGCCTGCACTTAAAAACAATCAGTACTGACAAAATTACCATCTGTCAGCTGCAATAGGCCACCTTACTTGTATCTGCACGCATTATTCGCCAATACATCACACAGTCCTAGACACTTGGGAAGTGTCCGACATGTGATCAAATACAAAAGCCGGCATAGTAATCTTGTTTGCTGTATCCTATTCTTGTTGTGTATCTAATAATATGGCGGAAATACAATCAAGGCTATCAACACCTGGGCCATCCCCATCATTAGATACACTGCTGGGATTGTGAACTGGACACAAGCAGAGCTGGATGATCTGGATAGAAAAACAAAAAAACTGATGACAATCCACTACTCATTACACCCGCGTAGTGATGTTGACAGACTTTACCTGCCCAAAAAATCAGGAGGCAGAGGGTTTCTGCAAGTGAAACAAATGGTAGAAGAAGAGAAACATGCACTGGCAGATTATGTGAAAGGCAGTCAAGAACTAACATTGAGGGAAGTCAATAGTAGTTAACTGCTTAAAGTGCAAAAGACAAAGAGGGAATACCGTAAAAACACAATCCAGAGCAGAAGAAAAAACTGGCAAAAGAAGGCTCTCCATGGACAATTCCTGGGAAAAATTGAGAGCCAAATTGACAAAGAAAAAACATGGCTGTAGCTCACAAATGGCACTTTGAAAAAGGAGACGGAGGGCCTGATTCTGGCAGCCCAAGAACAAGCCATTAAAACAAATGACATCAAAGCCAGAATTGAAAAGTCGGCAACAGATCCCAAGTGTAGACTCTGCAAGGAAGCAGATGAAACAACAGATCACATCCTCAGCTGCTGCAAGAAGATTGCACAGACAGACTACAAGCAGAGGCATAACACAGTTGCTCAGATGATTCATTGGAACTTGTGCCACAAATACCATCTGGTGGGATCACAAGCTGGAAAAAGTTACAGAGAATGAACACATCAAACTACTCTGGGACTTCCGAATTCAGACAGACAGAGTTCTGGAGCACAATACTCCTGACCTCACAATCGTGTTATAAACAAAGTATGGATTGTCAATGTTGCAATCCCAGGTGACAGCAGCATTGAAGAGAAACAACTGGAAAAGCTGACACGATATGAGGATTTAAAAATTGAACTGCAAAGACTCTGGCACAAGCCAGTCAAAGTGGTCTCAGAGGTGATCAGCAAACTGGGTGCAGTGCCTAAAGACCTTGGCCTGCACTTAAACACAATTGGCTCTGACAAAATTACCATCTGTTAGCTGCAAAAGGCCCCCTACTGGAATCTGCATGCATTATTTGCTGATACATCACACAGTCCTAGACACTTTGAAGCATGTGACGTGTGATCCACTACAACAGCCAGCAGAGTGTCTGCTGTGGACTCAACTTGTTGTGTTTCAAATAGTAATAATAATCTGTGTGTGAAGAGACCTAACACTCCCTGTTGCTGTACTCTTGAATTTCCAGTAACTAGGGTCCATTTAGCCCGAATCATAACTCTTCATTTTCCATAGCCAGATTTATTCCTATTTATACAGTATGGCTCTCTCAGCATATGCCAATTTTATACACATTTGTCTAGCGTCTAGGCCTTCCAATATTTCTATTCACACGGTCTATATATTCCTGGTGAAAGGTCAGTGGAGGCAGAAATAGATCCTTATTCTTATACTGCATTATGGTGTTTGAAGTCCGCTCAGGCTAGTCTTGGGAAGATAGTTTATGGTTGATGCATTTTATTGCTCCTTTGCAGCACTGGTGCTTTAAAAGGGTCATTTGCATGTGTCCCCCTCTCTCACAAATCAGCATTAATGGCATTTCTGACTCTAGTACCCTGCCCCTTGCTTTGTGATGGGTATATATATTCGTATGTGTGTGTGTGTGTGTGTTACATCATGATGGTGGGGCATGTTGTAATGTTATGATATCAGAAAACAATAAGAGCAAGAATCGGAAACCAGAGGAAGGGGTTAAGAATGGTTTAAACATATTAGAGATGTCATTTTCGCTGCCTGACTATCAGAAGTAGTCTAGAACTTATCTTCCAGAGTTTTCCTTGGGAATGCTTGAGGGAGGGGTAACCTGACCAGGCCAACACTTGTATTTTGGGGTATTGTGAATCTGTAGTTGTTGAGACCCATATGATCCAATTGCTTTCTTTTCCACCTTGCAGAGCTTTGCTGCCACGGCTGATTTGGGGGGCAGCCTGCTGGATCAGACACTGGGCAGGGCCCGATGTGACAAGATGTCCCCCTGCCCATCCCAGCAAGGATGGCCACGGGGTACCCTCCTCCCCTTATATAACCCATTGGCAGCAGGGGAGCTTGGTTCACAACGGGAGCTTGGTTCACAGCGGGAGATGGAGCTCACCTGGCAAGAGATCCTGTCTATCTCGGAACTGCAGGTAAGTGTGGCCTTGTCAGTGGATAAAGGGTGAATTGCTGGAGCAGCTGTATATGGAGTTTGTCCCTCTAGCCTTCACTGCAGTCGAAGCAAGGAAAGAAATACTACTTTACCTTGCAAGAGGCAAAGAATAAGGATGGCAATTAGGGATGTGAGCAATGAAATTGTGCTCAGTTCTTTGGCCCTCTCTAGGTAGACAAACTGTGGCTCTCAGATTAATTTCATATGTCCCTTCTTGGACTGATTTCAAAGGCCCCCAACAAATGTTCAGTTTAGCTCTTGTGTGAAGCAAATCAGCTCTTTGTGCACCGTCTTGCTGCAATAGGGGTGAAAGAGTTCTTGTTTTAGATAGTGTGTGGAAAGGAAGATGTGGAAAGGAATGGCAGTAGCCAATGGTACAAATAAATGAATGGGTATATGATAGAAATTAGGAAGTGGGACTTAACAAAGGCAGAGAGAGGTGGCAGAAAGAGAATGGGCTCCCAACACATGGAAAGTGGTCCTTTCCAGGCCACCAACTGCCAGTCCATGCCTTACCATGTCATCCCAGGATACCACAGTAGTCCATACTCTTATTACATCCTGAATAGATTACTACAACGTGCTCTATGTGGGATTGCCTTTGAAGACTGTTCAGAAGCTTCAAATGGTCCAATGGGTGGCAGCCAGGTTACTAACAGGAGCGGCACTCAGGGAATACATTACTCCTCTGTTGCATCAGCTCCACTGGCTGCCAATTTGCTACCGAGCATAATTCAAAGAGCTGACTTTAGCCTATAAAGCCCTAAATGATTCCGGCCCAGCTTACCTGTCCGAACGTATCTCCTCCTATGAACCATCTAGGAGCTTAAGATTGTCTGAGGAGGCCCTGCTTTCTATCCCGCCTGCCTCACAAGTGCGATTGGCAAAGACGAAGGACAGGGCCTTCTCAGTGGTGGCCCCCTGGCTATGGAACTCCCTCCCCAGGGATATTAGCTCAGCTCCCTCCCTCCTGACTTTCCGAAAAAAAGTAAAGACCTGGCTCTTTAAGTAAGCTTTTGAGAATGCAACGGAATAGATAACATGGAACTATGAATGATGAACATGGAATGGCCAGACGATGTTACTGGATAACGTTTTTAACAGGATGAACACCGATGATTATATGCTTTAACAGTTTTTATATATGTTTTATATTGTAATGTTGATTGTTTTTAATGGCACTTTTATGAATGCCTGATACCGAACTGTGCCAATCTGTAACCTGCCTGGAGTCGCCATATGGCTGAGAAAGGCGGGCTATAAATATCATAAAAAATAATAATAATATGCACCAGATATTTTTGTACGCCACATTGTACGATACAAAGCATTCAGCACTGAAAATAGTTTTATGGAGTAGCTTCTTGATTTTATAATGAATTTCTGCAAGATTTAAGATTCCTTCAAACTGCTGATAATCTCCCCGACTTTTCAGATGCTGTTTCTGTTAGCACGTATTACCTTATCTCACGCGTCTTCCTCTTGGCATGTTTCTCTCTTTCACCCTCCATATGTGCCTCTTCAAATTCTGCAGCACTGCTGGTCAGAGCCGACCTCCAGCTGGAGCGCTCAAGGGCCAGGGCTTCCCAGTTCTCAGTGTCTTTGCCAGAGTTTTTAAGGTTGGCTTTGCGCCCATCTTTAAATCTCTTTTCCTGTCCTCCAACATTCCGTTTTCCGTTCTTAAGTTTGGAGTAGAGCAATTGCTTTGGGAATGGTGGTCGGGCATTCGGACAACATGGCTGGTCCAGCGGAGTTGATGGTGGAGGACCATCGCTTCAATGCTGGTGGTCTTTGCTTCTTCCAGCACGCTGATGTTTGTCCGCCTGTCTTCCCAAGAAATTTGCAGGATTTTTCAGAGGCAGCGCTGATGGAATCGTTCCAGGAGTGGCATGTGATGTCTGAAGACAGTCCACATCTCACAGGCGTATAGCAGGGTTGGGAGGACAATAGCTTTATAAACAAGCACCTTTGAAGAGGCACGTATTACTAATGGAATGGGGGAAACATCATGTGATAGGACCCGTATTTGGAATTGTGTTCAAAGAGTCTCCGAAACCAAGTGTATCCCAGTGTGATATCCCATAGTGATGGCCCTTGCAAAGACTTAAGTTTAGTGTGTGTGTGACTACTTTGTACTTGGTTTACCACTTTCTGGTTCCCTTTTTGCAATGTTAAGGCAGCCCCCTGCTGGATTTAGACTAGCTCTATCACCACCAACCCAGGAGTTCTTGTGCCATTGAATTCAATGAGATGTACTTCTCTAAACTCACTGAAGACCACAAGAGCCATCCTGGACGGGATCGGTTTAGTCCAGCATTCTCTTCTGCCATTTGCCACTTAGATGGCTCAATGAGAGATTCACAAGCAGATATGCTGAGATACTGCTGTTTTTCAGAGATGTACATAGTTTTACCATAAAAATGCAGAAGGAGAGAAAAAATAGAATGCAGCAGCACCTTGAAAACTAATTGGTTGTGAGTCTTTATAGACAGAAATTCACTTCTGCAGATCCAGCACAGAATAACACTGAAGCCTCAAGTAAAAAGTCATGGGAGTCAAATAAAATGTAATAGGATCCAGAAAGAAATTTAGGGAAAGGGACATATTTTTTAAAGTTTCTAGATCTTATTACATTCTATCTGACTCTCACAACTGTATAAATATCCTTTATAACTCAAAGTTTTAGTATCGCTATATCTGAAGCAGTGGGTTTTTATCCATGAAAGCTTATGCTAAAATAGAAAAACAGTCAAAGCAGAGGTGCTGCTACATTTCTTTATCTTCCTGCCCGTCTTCCTTATTAAACCTACAATATTGGAGGTGGCATACAGACATCTTGAATACTAGTTACTGCGGACCCTCAACTTACAACTTACACCTAATCTTTTCAAAACTGCCCAGGTTGGCAGCAATAATACTTTATGGCAGTGAATTCTGCAATCCAGATACGTGCTGGGTGAAGAAATACCTATCCTGATATTTCTGAGGATGGTTGAAAATTGTGGCGAGTACTCAAAGAAGAAAATATTTTCGACATAACTTTCATTATACCTTGCATATTTTTGTACACTTCTATCATGTCTTTTCTTAGGTGCGTTTACATTTAAGCTTTCCTCACTAGCAAACCAGGGAGCCCCCGGTGGCACAATGGGCTAAAACCTTGTGCTGGCAGGACTGAAGACTGACAGGTCAGAGGTTCAAATCTGGGGAGAATGCAGATAAGCTCCCTCTGTCAGTTCCAGCTCCCCATGCAGGGACCTGAGAGAAGCCTCCCACAAGGATGGTAAAACATCAAAACATCCAGGCATCCCTTGGACAACATCCTTGCAGACAGTCAATTTTCTCACGCCAGAAGCAACTTGCAGTTTCTCAAGCTGCTCCTGACACAAAAAACAAACAACCAAACAAAACTATCAAACCAACTCAGCTTACTGCCCTTTTCTGCGCCTGTGGGTGCTTGCAGTTAAATTACTATATAGAGTCAGATGTAGCACAGATGAGAGCAAGAAAACAGCTTGCTCCAAGGAGCCATTCACTAGCCATGCAGAAGCTGTGGTGTGGATGGAGTCTTAGAGCCCGTCTACACAGACCTATATCTCAGATTATCAAGGCAGAAAATCCCACAGTTATCGGCTTAGATAACCCAGTCCACACTCAGAAAATGTGGGATTTTCTGTCTTGATATTCTGGGATATAGGGCTGTGTGGAAGGGCCCCTAGTTGTGGGGTGGTAGGTATCCATTACACACAGCTGCCGTGTTAATCCTGACTCTCCCAACACTGCCCCATTCAGCACCCGATTGGGGAAAAGGTGAGGTGCGTGTAGGAGGGAATGGCAGACAATGGGGGATCTGTCTGGAGGGATGAATTGGCCTTTTGTTCTCAGAGGGAATATTATCGAGCCATCCATTGCAGCAAGGTAGGCACCTGTGCAGTAACTTTAATTCCTCCCTCTCTCCCACACTCCTGAAATGTTGCAGAACAAGCAGAAGTGAATGGGATTGAGAGGTCGTGGGTCTACCTTTGGAGTTCTCAGTTCTTGGTAATAAAAAAAATCCAACATGTCTGACAAATCAATGAGTGCAGGCCTCATCTTCTGCCAGAGAAGAAGACTCCACCATGCTCTGAGGCAGCATATTTCACTGCAAAACAGCTCTCACCCTCAGGAAGTTCTTCCTAATGTTTAAGTGGAATCTTTTTCCTGCAGTTTTTATCCATTGCTCCATGTCCTCACCATTGCTCCATGTCCTCACCTCCAGAGCAGTAGAAAACAAGCTTCTCTCTCCTCAATGTGACTTCCTTCCAGATATTTAAACATGGCTATCCCTCTCAGGTTTCTTTTCTCAGAGCTAAGCATGCCCATCTCCCCATAGGGCTTGATTTGCAAACCTTTGGTTATTTTGGTTGACCTTCTCTGGATACATTTCAGCTTGTCAATATCCTTGAAGTACAGGGGCACGCTATGCTATCTGCAGTCTAGCATTTAGGGGGCCACACATTCCCTGTTCCCAACCTTTTTTTTTTTTACCAGGGACCACTCTCCAACATTAGTACTAAAAGGGTTACAAATAAGTTTTTGGTCAACTTTAGATTCAGTTTGGTTATTTGGGGTGCTGATTCAAAAAATTGTATTGGATAGACCACATCAGCTTTAGTTTCTGACACAGAACATATGCCACTCAGTAGTCGCAATTTGCTCGCCCACAGAAAACCATATTTAGCAAACTAGAGTTGATGTGGTAATAGTAATCTTTCGTGGGTAGTCAACCGCTCCCCTCCCGACATCCCAGTTTTCTCAGCACTATCAGAGGGTTTCCTGAGACCAGTCGCTCTCATTGCTGTGTGGTTTTAAGGCGACAGTGTAGTAATGTTGAGGCCACTGACCATATTTTCATTCTTGCGGACCACTGGTTGGGAGCCCTGCCCTAAACAAAGCTTCTGGTGGAAGAGAAAGTGGTTAACATTTACAACCTGTTGACCTAAGTACAAGTTATTTGGGTGAAGGCAGGGTTAGAAGTGAAGCTTTGTAGGCTGGCAGTCAATTAATAGCTGAGAATTGTGAGATAGCAGATATTCCTGCACCGTTTTGAGTTCTGCGCTTAAGTCTTATCTAAATGAAACCGCTCTCCTGCTGTTGGTCACTCATATGTCTACTTCCTTCTCAAGTGGAATAGATATTACCAACTGCTTTCTCTCAGCTAGTCTCTTATATACCCACAGGGCCTTGATATGCCAACGGAGAGTTGCTATGATCCCATCACATGTGGCCACCCCCAACAGATGGTGCCACCTGCAAGTTATGGACCCTGCACAGGGATGGAGGACAGCTCACTACCCAACTACAGTCAACCCACTCCTGTGTATGAACATATACATCCAGAAACTTTGCCAGGCTCTTGTTCTCTCCACAGCTACACAGGAATGCTGATCTCCTCCCTTGAGCCTCTGGGGCCTGCCAGGCTGAATGCATGTAAAGGAGGACCAGGGATAGCATTGGGCAACAGTGTTTATGGACCCCAAGGTCCCTGTAAGCCCCAAGAAGACATGGAATCAGACTCTGGCTTGTCACTCAACTACAGTGATGCAGAGTCCTTGGAGGCAGAGGGGCTGGAGCAGGCAGAATACACTTCCCTGTACCCCATGGAACATGCACCAGCATATCCAATGCTGGCTCCAGTGTCAGAGGTGCCCATCTGTGGCCCACACACAGAACTTTCTTTGGAGAAGGGACAAGGCCCACGAGGTGAACTGGCAGGTAGCCGGGATGAACGGCGGGCCCTAGCTATGAAAATCCCTTTCCCTGTTGAGAAAATCATCAACCTCCCAGTGGACGACTTCAATGAGCTGGTGTCACGCTTCCCCCTGAGCGAGCCTCAGTTGGCACTGATTCGGGACATCCGCCGTCGTGGGAAAAACAAAGTGGCAGCTCAAAACTGCCGTAAGCGCAAGCTGGAGACATTGGTGCACCTAGAGAGGGAGCTTGAGGATCTGAGTCGCGAGCGCCAGCGCCTGTTACGGGACCGTGGGGAGTTCAACCGGACATTGATGCTTACAAAGCAAAAGCTTGGGGCACTGTATCACCAAGTCTTCTGCATGTTGCATGATGAAGCTGGCAACACCTATTCTCCAGAAGAGTATACGTTGCAACTCACCGCTGATGGCAGCATCTTCCTTGTGCCACGGAATGAACAGCTAGATATTTCTACTGACTGAAGAGGATGAAGAGGACAGGTCCTTATTGGGAACTGACCAAACCATATTGTATAAGCAAGCACCATTTTCAAGTGCATACTCCACATTTGTCTCAAGATCATCCCAATGTAGGAAGTTTGGATTTGAAACTCAAAGCCATATGACCAGAATGGAAGACAATATGTTTTCTGATCTAGGACAAAGATGCAAAACCACTGCCATGTATTGCATACAGGTAGGATTGGGGACACATTATTCGAGTTTTAAAAAACTTACCCCCCCCCCCCCCCCCCCCCCCCATCACTCCCTCCAACCTAGTATGGTCCAGATATGTGAGTTATACTTCCTGTCTTGCACAGGCAACACAGAAAGCTCCACCACACATTTGGCTAGCGTAAACCTATTTTCTGGTTATTTCCTATCATGTTTCATCCTTTAGGTTCAGTTTGGGCCGTATCTGCCTAGTAGCAAAGTGTGAAACAGGCAAGGCTGAGATCATCCCTGCCACCTTGTTGGTCTCTTCCCATGAATCCACATGTGACTCTTTTAAGTTCTGAACATTTTTTAATTGTACTGTTCTCTTTTTTTAGCATTGCGTGCTGTATGTGCCTTCAAGTTGCTTGTTGACTTATGGCATGAATTCTCTAGGGCTTTCTTAAGGAAGAAATACAACTCACAGGTGGTTTTGCCATTCTCTTCCTCTGAAATATTGCCTACAGGTATTCCTTGGCCTTCCATTGAAGTTCAAACCATGGTTGATCCTGGTTAGCTTCTAGACAGGTTCATGTTCTAGTACAACAGCTAAGCTTGGCTCAGCTGAGTGTTCATATTCCAGAAACTTAGGCCCCATTCACACTGCCCCTATATCCCAGGATCTGATCCCAGATTATCTGCTTATCCAAGATTATCTAGCAGTGGAGGCTCTATTTAAAACGGACAATCTGGGATCAGATCCTGTGATATAGGGCACTGTAGAAGGGCCCTTTAGTGGTGTTTGGAAACCTTGCTTTGTGGGTTTTATCTTTCAACTAGAGTCAACAAGATAGGATTAAATGAATTTGCACAAATCCAATTGTACAGGTATTATAACCAGATTTGTGTTGAATTCCAGGAAGGCAAAAGGTCATTTTAGGTTATCGCCCATTTATAAATAGTAATTCGTCCAATAAACACAACATCTGGACAGTACTATTATCTTTAAATGTAATGTTTGTTTTTGCTGACTGTAGTGAGAAATGCTCGACAGGCTCAAAGGCTAAACACCCTGTAAGTTATTTTTAGATTTCTATGAGAAAGTTATGATTCCATGGTATAAACACAGCTCTAAACACAAGCAACTAATATAATGGATTTGAGACAGACTTGAATAGCTTGGCTTTACAATACTGTTCCCTACGAGAACAATGCAGCCACCTCAATCTCAAAATAGTAAATAAATACAAGATGCATCAGAATGCATGGCATGGAAATACCATGAGTGTTGTGAGAGACCAAAATATTTGTAACCCACAAAGAAACATTTCCTTTCATAACCATGTATTTGTAAATAGTATATTTTCCTTTTCTGTAAAAATAAAAAATGATCTGGTACACGATTCCCTTTTTCTCTGCTGCTGTGAAAGCATTTAGAGCAAGCACTTCCTTTTAGCAGTGTATCAAAGAGGAATGTTAGATCAAGAACTGAAATGAAAAACTTTGATTTCGATGGCTTTTTAACTGTTAAGACTTAATAGGAATTAGTAACGTATGTCCTTCTAGCTATTGGACTATGCCTCTCATTATGATGGACTATTTCCCTATGTCTGTGTAACTGCACTGAAAAGAAAGCTAATTCTCCCTATCTTCAAAAGCCAACATTGTTTTAATGAGAAAATTTGCATATTGAACTGCAATTGAAAGGTGTGTGAAATTTTCACAATTCTATAAAAATCAGAACTGTGGATCCCAACCCTATCCACTTAGCTCAATGTTTGGCAATAGTAAAAGGTTTCTGAATGTCATTTGCACAAATCAATGTGCAGTGTTTACAGTGGACTCTGCAGCCAATGCTTCAGCTGCATTTCATAAAAAGCAAAATCAGCCTGTTTAGCAAGCCTTGCAAATGCTGATTTTGTTACCAGTAAATGTTGATTTGTATATTTTTATATATCTGGTATAAAAGTCTCACTTATCTGATCTTGTGTTATCCGATACTCTTATACAACACCCCACCCTCCTTTTCCTCCAGCATTTCCCCTTTAGAGGCCATGTTTTTAGTTTCCTTCTTTCCCCCCCATTATGGGGGATACCACTGTGTGCAGCCCGAAGGAGGAGCACAGAGCATAATGGTTCTGCCCCCCCCCCCCACACGCAGCAATGGTTCAATCAGAGTTGGAAGGAGGTGTCGTGGCTATGCAGGACTTTGTAGGAAATATGGGAAAAGAATGAAAGTGGGCAGTTGTCTTGAAGATTTGCGTAAATGTATTATCTACCTTTTCATTACAATTCCTTGTTTGTTGCTCTTTTTTTCCATCAGTGGTGAGTTCGTTCTCTTCTTCTGTCTGGAAAACCAAACAGAAGGAGAACTCACTCACCACTGATCTCTGCCAGGAGATAAGGACTTCAACTCCCAGAAGCTGCCATATTACTCAACCTTTTCATTTATCCGATGTCCTGCCAGCCCATTTATGATGGATAAGCGAGACTCTACTGTATATAACTGGGGTCTCATAAAAATTGCTCAAACTAATGGGGGTCCTGAGAGGGAAAGTGTTAAGAAGCTCTGCTTTAGAATACACTTAAGCAAGACAATTCTTGGGGAAATTTTTTTATTGCAGTATAAAAATATTCTTCATGAACAATACATAGATACAGTCTAGCTACCCAGTAGCCATTGAACTTTCATTGAAAGAATTAGTTTAAAACTGAACTGAAGACTCCTGTAAGACAAACAAACAAAAAGACATGATCAAACACAAGGGCATTCAGTTGCATTGTTTTGCTATCGAAAGACACTGAAACCTCCCTCTATGCCTACCATATCCATTTTCCTCATCAAGGCACATAATGAAAGTGTCAAATCCAGTTAACCCTTTCCTTAAGTATATTCATTTCATATTTCCAATCCATTTTAGTAGCCTCATTACCTCTTGCCCCAAACAATTTCCATTCTTACCCTCTTAAAATGTGCTTGAAAGACATCTTAGTCCATTATCCTGGAAGGGTGTAATTATAGCCCTGGGAAGCTCTTCTTCTCCTATAAAAAGGAAGACATGTTAAATATCTCCTGTGTTTAGCATTTATTACATCCAGATACTTTGCATTAAATACCCCAACCCCCTCTACAGCAATACAGCCAGTGCACTGTGATACTATGCTAAATATTTTAAGGCCACCCAAAGAAGGGAATAAGAGGCACTGTTTCTATAAAATACATTTTATCCCAGTTTCAGGCTCATGACTGAGTGTTTTTAAGTATATAAAAATCATTATGATGTTGTTTGACTAATGCTCATATATATACAATATACATAGATTACAGCACTGGGAAATTTTAAAGCAACTGAACCAGCATTTACAACTCAGCCTCAGATATTTTAGCAGGATAACAAAACTATATAGGACATAAGTAAAATCTGTTCTTACCTACCAGTACAGTAATATAACCTTTCCTTCCTTCTGCGTCTGCCTGCTAGTCCTAAGAGCAAGGAGTCTTACTCTCGTCTGCCTCCTTCCTTCCGGTGGTCACTGAGCACTCCTTTCTAGTCAGCAGAAGCCTGCACCTGGCTTATCTGTCCACTCGACTCAACACACGTCTCTACTCTCAGCTGTGGTAGCGTCTGAGCTGGAGGTCATTCGGAGCTATGCTTGCTAGCCGTTCCTAGTAGCTCAACCATCTCCATGCCTCCCGGATTTGTAAAGCTACTTAGTTTTCAGGTGCGGATGTGCTCTCCTCTGTTGTGGTTATGCTACCATGCCAAAAGCCAGCATTACTTCATGAGTCCTGAGGTCTCGTCTCCCTCAACAGAATAAGGATCCACCTGCTATTGCAAACTCAAGCCAGGTAAAAACCCATCAGGACTATTATGTCTTCATTCTAGATCAAGCCATTGGCCAGTCAGAGACAAGGTCATATATATACAGACACCATATACATCCACCATAGTAATTTTGAACAGGTTTGACCTTCATGCACAAGGCAGTAGAACAGAAATATTAGATGTGCACTCAGCTGTGGCTGAAGATTAGTGGGATCAACATGTGTCACTATGCACATGTTGCCACCTCTGCCTTCAAATATCAATTGCAGTTCTAGTTCCAACCGATTGACACCAAGAAATTAACCCCAGAAAAAATGGCACCCAGAAGGCGCATTTTCTATTGCAGAACTGGACTGGGGAAGAATATGAGTTGCTTTAGAAAACAAGCCATGTGTTACGGAATTTGAAAATGGAAGCAGTCACTGTTTAAGACCCGTCGCAAACCAGCCTCCTGCGGAAGCAAACCTTGCCAGCACGTCCCTGACGTCATGAGGCTGCGCCTCTCGCCCCGCCTCTTTCTCCGTGCCAGAGTGGTTTTTCCTTTGCTAGGGCAGCATTGCCAGCGTATTCTCAGTTGAATTCTGCCAACCGAGAGAGTACGCTGGCAATGCTGCCCTAGCAAAGGAAAAACCACTCTGGCACGGAGAAAGAGGCGGGGCGAGAGGCGCAGCCTCATGACGTCAGGGACGTGCTGGCACAGTTTGCTCCCGCAGGAGCCTAGTTTGCTTTGCTTAGGCTGCCTCAAGAAGGAGAATGGCGATTTGCCAGTCAACTGACAGGTTGGCCGTTTGAATCTGGGGAACAGGGTAAGCTCCCGTCTGTCAAGCTCTAGCCTCTCATGCAGGGACATGGGAGAAGCCTCCCATAGGATGGTAAAACCTCAATCATCCGAGCATCCCTTGGGCAACTCTCTCACACCAGAAGTGACTTGAAGTTTCTCAAGTCGCCTCTAACATGGAAAAAAAGTGGGATAATATGCTTGTATTTAAATGCATCTAGAAATACAGTTGCATCTTTTATACAAGGTATGGGCAAACTTCAGTCCTCCAGGTGTTTTGGACTTCAGCTCCCACAATTCCTACCAGCTGTTAGGAAATGTGATAGTTGCAGTCCAAAACACCTGGAGGGCCGAAGTTTGCCCATAACTTGTTTTATACTGTAAAGCTTACTTGAGACTTGTATCAAGTTATATAATCATCTTTTTCCCAAAGGCTTTGGAATCTGCCCATCACGACACCATATTTTGAAAAAGAGCCACACTGTGTAGCCACAAG